CCTGCCTAGGCAGGGGGTTGGACTAGAAGACTTCCAAGGTCCCTTCCAACTCTGCTATTGTATTGTATTAAGATGCTTGGCAGCTTACTCATAACATTCTTACACAGTAAGAGGTTTAAATGCATACTCCTAGTTCTCCAACACAAAACTGTAACTGCATTTTAAAAATTCCAGATATCTTCACTAGCTTTAAAACAGGCATATTCAAACTACAGCTCAAGGGCCGGATATGGCCCGCCAATGCAAAGTGGGATGAAAAGCAGCTGCCAGATTGTAAAGTAGTGCTTTAAAAGTCTTTAAAAACAGCCTTTCAGATGTTTTTCACAGCCATGTGATCCAGGGCCAGTAGCTGAGTAGGGGAGGGGGTGGTGCCGGCTTGAAAAGCAGCTGCCAGCTTGTAAAGTAATGCTTTAAAAGTTTTTTAAAACACTTTAAAAATGCTTTAAGATGTTTTTCGCAGTCATGTGATCCAGGGCAGGTGGGTGAGTAGGGTAAGGGCTGCTTTTAAAGTAGTGCTTTAAAAATGGATGGGTGGGGGACATATCTCCATGTCTCGTAGATTTTTCAAAATCAGCTGAAGTTGGCTAACACTAATTCAAATGCAACCGCAGTATAATGCCTGAAGGAGAATTCACCCACTGCTTTGATTCTTCCCATATATAAAGTGCATCCACTAATTTTGGTAGATATTCATGTGTATATATACACATGCACAACTGTGGCAAAAAGCAAATCCATTTGTGAATCCTCCAGGCTTAAAAGACCTTTAGCCCTATAATCCCAATTAAGCAGGCCCACACTTCCCATTGAATTAGTAGTATATTTATATTCATTACAATTGTTCTTCATTTTAAATATTGTATTATTTCATGGTTTTTTTGCACTACAAGTAAAGATATGTGCAGTGTTCATAGACATTTGTTCATGTTTTTTTCAAACTATATCCCCCAACAGTCTGAGGGACCATTATCCCTCTTTAATTCACCATTGGAAGCTGTGTGTGTGTGTGTGTGTGTGTTGATTCTCGCCTTCTTCCAACTGCTTCCAATGTCTCTCAATGCCCATCTTGGGGGTTTTAGTTGCAGTCAAAAATTGGTGTAGTTCTCAGTCTGGTTTATTGTGTGGTTATCTGAAACATATGATCAGGAGTTATTTTGAAAAAATCCTGTTTGTTTTATTCTTTTTTTAATGGCCTATTTTAAGGAGCATGAAGCTGCTGTTATAATGAAGTTATGCAAGTGGCAAGAAAGTTTGCACACTTTTTCCCTTTGGGGAGGGGGGTCTTAAGTAAATAGATTCCTTGCGTTGAGCAAGTACAGCAAGGACAAAAGCAAAATGGACTGCTAAATTGGCCACACCCACTGAGTCACATGACCACCTAGCCACACCCATCCAGTTACATGACCACCTAGCCACACCCACCCAGTTACATGACCACCTAGCCACACCCACCCAGTTACATGACCACCTAGCCGCACCCACCCTGCTGGTCCGGCCCTCCAACAGTCTGAGGGACCATGAATCGGCCTGTTCAAAAAGTTTGAGGACCCCTGATTTAAAACATATCTTGGAACCTATCAGGGTTCCAAGAAACACCCCCAACGAAAGAAAACTTCAAGGCCTGAGTTTCCTCAAAATTCCATTTTATTAGAGATGTCAGGTTAGCACATCTGGAAAAACCCGAATCTGAAAGCTTCCAGGTTTTCCCCACCCAGTTGAAAGTTCAAGACCCTGCCCCAACACCCACAAGTCTATCACGTGATCCAAAATCCTTCATTGCCACGAAGGAAGATTCCTCCCATCCACATCCATCCAGGTTCAGGGACAAAGTGACCTTGATTTTCTGAGAAAGAATGTTATTATGGCTACACATCACGCATACTCAAAATAATCCCCCCTCCCATTTTCCCACAGTAGAAAGTGCGGCAGGCCTGAAATCCAAAAAGTAAAAGATGTCATCCAGGTCTGACACTTCCAGCAACCCATTAAGAAAGTCAGTAAAATGTAATAGTTCTAACATATCCTTAGGTACCCATTCCATTGTTAATGAGCTGTTCATGATGAGCTGAACCTCTGAGTAAATAGAACTGAGGGGAGCTACTAGCATACTCCTTCTTATCTTATTCATAGCAAATTTTGAGGTACCTGAAGAGGCTTCACCCTGATATTTTTTTCCAGAAAAAAGAAAACTCCACATTTACACCAAAGAAAAATGAATGTGAATTTAAGAGGACCAGGTGTATCACAAACATATTGTTTCATAATATTAATTTTCTGAAAACTACTAAGTCATCCCCTGGATTGATGTAACCTAGAAAACCATAAATTGTTCCAATGTATTCTGAAACATTCCAATTTTCATGTCCAACTTTAGTTGAAACCAATCCTGAAGTATATTTTTCCCTCAACAAACATATGCATGTAAAGCTCTCACATATGTAAATTTATATATATTAGCTTAAACAATCTCACAGTTGTTTTGGAGAAAAATGGGAGGTCAAAGTACTATGTATTTCACATTGACCTCCTGATAGAAAGGTGGGAAATAAATCTAACAAATGAACAAACTAAATAAGTAAATAGATAAGAGGTGATTAATACTAACCTTGATTAGCATATCTATTCACACTTTGCACTCCCACTCATTTGCTCATGTTCAGCAGTTATACCGGAACCGTGTTAGTTGCTTTCTAACTCTCTCAAGAAAATGTACTACACCCATAAGTAATTCTTCGAGAAGAAACCTAGATTCTTTTTGGGTAAATATAGTAAATGCTAGTTGGTAATTAAGTCGTCCATAATAGAGCATACCAATGGCTTGTTTAGACCCAAGCATTATATGCTAACTAAGCTATTCTGAGGGATGTGGTGGCTCAGTGGCTAAGATGCTAAGCTTGTTGAGCAGAAAGGTCGGCAGTTCGGCGGTTCAAATCCCTAGCGCCACGTAACAGAGTGAGCTCTCATTACTTGTCCCAGCTTCTGCCAACCTAGCAGTTAGAAAGCATGTAAAAATGCAAGTAGAAAAATAGGGACCACTTTGGTGGGAAGGTAACAGCGTTCCATGCTCCTTCGGCATTTAGTCATGATGGCCACATGACCATGGAGGCGTCTTCGGACAGTGCTGGCTCTTCGGCTTTGAAACGGAGATGAGCACCACCCCCTAGAGTCAGGAACGAATAGCATGTNTTTTTCCTTCTTTGAATCTGGTTCATGAATTACTTGTAAGAGCCAAGAGAGATGTATATGTGAAGCATGACTTCATGTTCTACTTTTTTAAAAAATTGAAGATTCTGAAATCTCTATCAAATTCTACACTGGGAAACCTATATTCATAAACTTTTAATAAACGTAATAAATAAATGAAATAATCTTGCATACCTGTTCAAAGCGCCACCCATCTGACATTGTGGAAACCATTTGTGTGAGCTCTTCCTCCTGACATTGCAGTACTCTGTAGACATGCTTTGGTGGCACCTAGAAGAAACAGAACAAGGAACAACAGACCATATCAGCAAGGACTTTCCTGTCTACCTGGCCAGATTTTCTATTAATAAGCAAAGCCAGGCAGTTGCTTCCCATCCTCAGTTCTAGGTCCTAGTAAAGAGAACTCTATGTCTATGATGGCGAACCTATGGCATGCGTGCCACAGGTGGCACATGGAGCCCTCTCTGTGGGCATGCAAGCCATCACCCAGCTGAGCTCCACCGGCCAGCTGATTTTCGGTTCTCTGCTGCACAAATATGGGAGATGTGCGTGCATGCATGCGCAGGATGCAGGGGGGTCACAGGGACATGCACGGGGGGTAGGGGGTGCAATGCCCCCCTTTCCCCATTTTTGATTTCAGGAGACTTCAGGGAGGTCTGCTAGACCCAAAATGGGGGGGGTTCCACACGCACGTGGGGGGTCATATGCATGTGAGGGGGACCACGAGAGTCGCATGCATGCACACATGTGCAGAGGGCGCATTGCATTATGGGTGTGGGCTCGTGTACACATACTGTCACATGTGCAAGTGCGCTATTGCGTGCATGTGATTTTGTCACGCAAGGAGAAAAAGGTTAGCCATCACCGCTCTTTGCTATAGAAAAGACAGAAGCAATTGATAGTTGTTGGAACATCTGCACATGTGAATTAGACTGAAAAGTTTTAGATGAGCAAGGAGAAGAGCTATAGTTCACCAAGTGAGCATCCTCTGGCAGGGCTGGGCTAAGGATCCAGAGTATTCTGGCAATCAAAATAAGTAATGCTGTTACATGAATGATGTGATTCATTATAAGGCAAAAGGAGTGAGCTGTTCTGAACTTGGAAGGAGGAGAGGGACATCAAATTTCATGCCTGAAAAATTTCATGCCTTGAAATGAAACGTTTTGCACTATTCTCACATGGAGATTCAGAGCAAGACCACACATGAAAATAAAAAGTGCAATCCGCCTTGCAAGATTTAGTCAGTATCTCCAGTGAAAAGAGATCTAAAAGTACAGATTTCCTCATTTCAGCAATCTCCAGATGGGTTGGGATTTCATTTCCCAGAATTCCCAGCCCATATTGCTTTGATCATTGGAGGCTGAAACTGAAATTGTGCCAACACATCTGGAAGGCACCTGGTTGGGAAAAGCTGCAGTACTATATGAGAATTGCTGCCAGTCAAAACGGAAGATATATGGACAAGTAGCTTAATATGTGAAATCCTAGGAGGTTTTCCAGCTTCTCACTTCTCTTATAACAACAAATATAGACTGAATTTTCAAGAATCATTCTTTCCAATTGCATAATTAACCCTGAATAATAAATACCCCAAAATTAACTGAATTAAAACAGCCCCTGCTTTAACAATTAAATGCTGGCTTGCTTATTCCCAGTCTTTTAACATTTATCGTTGTTCAATTTTATTTTTATTTTTTTGTAAAATGAAGCTTAACATTCTGGGCACTTTTGTTTTCAATTTCTCTTAAATATAATTCTACATTTCCCAACCCACCTGGGTTATGGTGTAATCCTTTTCCTCCAGTCTGTCTTTTATTAGTCTGATTAGAGACCCAATGTTGTAGAATTCTGCTTCTTCCAGAACGCCTAATAATAGCGGAGAGCATATCAATAAAACAGTAAGTACTGAACAATTTCACTATCAAGTAATATTAATTAAAATATAAATTTGGGTATTAAACAGAAAAGATTTGGCAATTCTTAAACTTAACTCACATCAGAATCACATGTTAATATGACAAGAGTGTGATGTCTTTCACAGAGATCAAATTTGGAAAGGCAATCAAAATATATGGGGGGAAGGCAAGGCTACAATGAAAAATTACGTAAGGGAATATTTCTAATACTGGGACATATTTAATACTAAATGTATATTATAGCTCAATGTCTATGTCATCCCAACTCATCTCACAGTGTTGTTGTGAGGAAAATAGGAGTAGGAAGGTATGTTGGATATATTCGCTGCCTTGAGTTATTTGTAAAAATAATAAAGTTGGAATACAAATCTATCTTCTTCCATCTACCGTATTTTTCGGAGTATAAAACGCACCCTTTTCCCCTAAAAAAGAGGGTGAAAATCTGAGTGTGTCTTATACAGTGAATACAGCATTTTTGGCCTCCCGAAACCCCGTCCCCTTCACAAAAATGGATGTGCATAGGCTTTGGGAGGCCTGCCAAGAGCTGGGGAGTGCAAAAATGATGGGGAAATGGGCTGTTTTTTTGCCCGTTTGCCCCCCACCCACCCCGGAGCACTCTACAAGCCTCCCAAAGCCTATGCATGCCCTGCTTTTTGCAAACAACAGACCAATTTTTGCACAAAAAAAACCCCACCATTTTTTTGCTTGTTTTTGCCCCACGCAGCATGCAGAGGGTTTGGGAGGCCTGCAGAATGTAAAATTTTTTTTAAATGTACCTCTTCAAAATCTTGCTGCGTCTTATACTCTATCTATCTATCTATCTATCTATCTATCTATCTATCTATCTATCTATCTATCTATCATCTATCATGTTATATGTTACTAATATAACAGTTGCAGTGATTCATTTAACAAAAAGTCGTAAAATAGGGCAAAACTAACTTAACAAATTTCTCACTTAACAACATAAATTTTGGGCTCAATTGTGGTTGTACGTTGAGGACTATCTGCATTCCTTCCTTTTCTATTTGTACGTGTGAACAGACTAAAACATAAATTCTGAATTAATAAAAAACGCATATTTCTTAGCAACTATGTGATAAACAAACATCATTTTCATTTAACTCTGAACAGTCCCAATGTTTACCTGATTCCCATCCATTCATTCAAGTCATCTGACCAAGTCATTTTTCTCTAGAATCACATTCAATTAAGCCTGTTTCTTCCTTTGTCATTTGAGTGTAACATTAACCAAACCAAATCAAATCAAAATTAATATATTAGATTTTTAATATCCCTCCGTTCAAGATTACTCCAGATACCTACTTTCATGGGCATTCACAACTACCTAATGATACCAATTCATACTTTCTGACATGCACTTTAATCCTTTCATTAATAATTAAACTTCACTTCACTTTTCCACATTCCACTTAATAAGGTTAATCCACCTTCAATCAAATCTATTACAATTACATTCTTTCTCATAGTTTCACCTAAGCACATGTATCTATTTTTCTTTCATCTGTTTTGATTTTTAATTATTATTAACAGTAGAATACATGCAATTACAATACTGGTAAAAACGTAGTGGTTTGTAATAAAAAAATGTACATGGGGTGATTAAACACAATAAAAAGAAAATGTGGGAGAACTAGTAACAGAAAAAAAGAAGAAATATCCATATAATTTTCATTTAGCATCAATATAGAATAAATTCAATACTCAATCTTATTATTATTCCATCTGGATCACATGGAAATCTATTGCTTTATATTCTTATTTTTAGAGCAAAAATCTTTTCAAAAATACATAAGGCTCTTATCTGAATTCATCAGGAAAATATATTCCTTTCCATTTACATAAGATTATCCTCTTTGCCATGCCCCAGGCTTGATAAAACCAAGATCTTCATAAAATGACAAATTCTATATTTTAGGAAAATAGCTTGACAGGCCATTTATAGCTTAATTCTAATACTTCCCTTCAAAGTTGCATATGGTGTTTTTTGCAGATGCTGTTTTGTATATGCAAAGTTACCATATGCTAATTTTTTATTGAAACAAAGCGATGACTGGACTAGACCAAATGATATCTTAGGGGAATATTGAATCCAAGCACCGGTCAAAGGACGAAAGTTAAAGACAAAAAAGACTCTGAAAAGGCAAAATAAGACAGAAATGATCTGACAAATACTGAACAAGCTTGTAATTAATATGCTGTTCATTCACATAAGTTTCTCTTTTTCCCTCCCTACTAGGTCATGCAAACTGACAAGGAAGTTTAAGGTGATCAGATAAAACATGGAGCCAGAGGTAGTATTGAGCAGGTTCTGACCAGTTCTGGAGAACCAGTAGTGGAAAATTTTAGTAGTTCAGAGAACCTCTGACTAGCCCTGCCCCCATCTATTCTCTGCCTCCCGATTTCCAGATGATTGGGAGGGGATGGAGATTTTACAGTATCCTTCCCCTGCAACACCCACCAAGCCATGTCACACCCACAGAACCAGTAGTAAAAATTTTTGAATCCCATCACTGCATGGAGCCCTCCCTAAAAAACACAAACAAAATAGACCTCAAAAGGCGGGGGGGGGGGGGGAATGGAAGTATGTTTAATAAAGAATACAGATTTCAGAAGGATAAAAGAGATGAAGCCCTGAGGCCAATACTCAACTAAGAAGTAACCATCCTAAATAGATACGTATTAGTAAAGGTGGCAGAAAACCTCACAACTTTCGTTTACTTTATTATATCAGCCTGAATAACAGAATTGTCATACAAATGCAAAAAAAAGAAATAGTACTTATGAAATCTCTGCAAATAACACTGAATCTTAATGAAAGCAAGCAAACAAGCAAGAATACTTGCATTGAAATTCATCATTTCAAAATATTAATATTATTCATATTTCAATACATTTATTCTCAAAGATCGGATTTCCTAATTTTCTAATGCAATAGATTCATTTCATTGTAATAAATATGCTCTATTTCCGAATAAAGAATTTAATAAAAGAGGGGTGATTTTCTTCCATTAGGAAGCTAGAATGAATTTTGCAAAGAGAAAATAAATTAATCACCGTTTCTATATGAGCCCTTTCTACCTAATTTGAAAGTCGATCAGTTATCTCAATAAATTGTTATTGGCTTGACATGAAATAAGGTTTTAAAAAAAGAACTCATGGAGAAAAATAAGCACATGAATAGAATGCTGGAATGGTCTTTTCAGAACCATTCTCAGTAGCATCGCACTTAATAGTGTATAAATGATTACTGTTATGCAACAAAGTGTAGGGGAAATACTTCAATTTCTCCAGCTCAGTGAGTCTATATTTAGTAGAATATGTGCATGTGAATAGAACCAAGCCTGTTAAAACAATGCAGAAAGAGATGCTTCAGATTCAAAAGGACATTTTTGTTACAGAAATAGCATGCTTAAATAAAAAGTTTGCTTCTCTTGAGTTTTCTATTTCCATGAAGATAGGGCAGGAAAGGGAGATGGGAGATGGGAAAGGGATGGGTCGAGAAAGGAAGAGCTTTATTCTTCCAATTGGAAAAGGGAAAACAAAAATAAAAAGAGGAACAAAATAAGATTAGGGAAGAAAATGGTAAGTGAGCACCTGTCTACCCTAGATGAGTTCAAATAACCAGGACCGGATAGATTACACCCCAGGGTTCTGAAGGAACTGGCAGATGAGATCTCAGAACCATTGAATTACATCTTTCAGAGATCCTGGAGCACCGGGG